AGTGAGGGCAGACAGGATGGTGACGAGGCAAGCAGGTTGGTGGAGGGTGACTATTCGGAAGGATGATGGGTGGGTAGGTAGAGTGGATAGACAGGACGCCTGGGCAGGCAGGAGGATGGACAGGTGGATGGATGACTGTCTGGATGGTGGATGGATGGCTGGCTGGGTGGGTGAATGGCCAGTACACGGGTGGGCAGTTAAATGATGAACAGAGAGATGAATAACTGGATGGGTGGAGGACACCGTGACGGATGGATGGTAAGTGGACAGACGACTGGGTGGATAGGTGGGGGATGAACAGAGGACAGAAGGAAGGAACAAACAAGCAGGAGGAAGGGACGGAAGCCCCAGAAAGACGACTGTGGGGAGTCAGGGGGGCTGGTGGTGACCAAATCGTGTCATTTCCATACTCAGACTGCCCCCTGAAGTGAAGAAAATCTCAACTCCGCCTACATGGTGAGAAATAAGGCCCTGCATGACTCGCCCACCCTGCTGGTGTGCCTCTTACGAAGGCTCTCTTACTGTGCTTCAGCCACACCCGCCATCTTTCCCTTCTTGAAAACACCAGACTCCTTTCTGCCTCAAGGCCTTTGCACTTGCTGTTCCCTCTGCCTGGAAATACCCTTCCTTGGCTCTTATGTGCCTGTTCCCTTCCATCCTTCAGGTCTCAGCACAAATTTCTCCCCCGCAGAAAAGCCTTCCCTGACCATCTCATCAAAACGTCCCCTATCCAACCCATCACGTCTCTGTTTTCCTTCCTTTTCTGCACCTACAGCTGTCTGAAGTTATCTTGTTGACAGATGCATGCATGTGTTTACTGGTCCCTCCCCCAACCAGCATGTCATCTCCACTCGATGAGAGACTTCTGTCTGTCTCATCCATGGTACCACCCCAGCACCTAGAGGCAGGCCCGCCTCACAGCAGGGCTCCAGAATCACTTATTGACCACATTAATGGATGATCTGGGGCCACCGGGAAGTCTCGGAAAGTTGTTACACAAGCACTCTTGGCCAGAGGACGCCAGGCAGCTTCCCTGACTTCAAAGTGACTGCCGGGAGTAGGCTCAGCTGGGCCCCTGGGTCCTGGGTCCTGGGTCCTGGGAGCAGTCTGGGGTTCAGCACGGAGCTCCACCCACTCAAAGTCAGCAGGAAAAGGGAGAGCCTGGCCAGGGCTGCTTCCGCGAGGCAATCTGTGTTCAATGAAAGCAGGTGGCATCTGGCCAGGGCTCCGCTTATCGAAACCAGCTGTCCTGCCAGGGCTGGGGAGCAGGGCTATTTTTAGCTTCCCCATGCTGGGCTGAGCAGAGACCTGGGGTGTAGGTAGTGGCTGTGCTGAGGCATCAGAGAGCCCGGCTAGAGGCAGAGGCAGAGGGGAAACGAATCTCTTTTGTGGGACCGGAGCCCCAGGTGGGGAAGGGACTATTCTGGGCCCTATCCACCCCCAGTTCTAGTCCTCAAGACCCCACAGAGACAGCGCGCAAGCTGCCAGCACGGGAGGAGGTAAGCAGATGTTGATGTGCCCACTCTCGGAAGCTAGAGGCCGGCACCTGGCCGCCAGCTGTCCAGGGGGGGCCACTCTGGCAAGGACTGGCAGGCCCGTGGCCAGGATGGAGGGACAGGAAGTGTCCCACAGCAGCTGCTGGGGCAGAAGAAGACAGCCCTGAGGACAGCAACTTTGTCCTATGTTTCTGCTCAAGTTGGATCTTGCCACCTTCTTGGGGATCAAGGAGGGTTCACGGCTTGCTGGGCAAACGTGGACAAATTGCTGACCCTCTCTGGGCCTCCACAGGGTGCATCTGGCAAGTGGCTCACTTAGGGATCTTCAGGATTTAGGAGGTAAATTTTTACTCACGAAATCCTCAGCTGGGATCCAGTTTGCAAAACCCAATGAAACTCATCTCCAAGGCAGGTACTTCAAACTCTTATAAACAGGCTGAGAAGGCGGAGGGAGACTGTGCCCAACCAGCCAGTGCCCGCCACACCCAGGCCAGCCACCACCCTTCCGTGCTGCCTACCATGGCTGCAGGGACGAGGCAGCGTCTAACAACCCTTCGAGAGAAGGCGGAAATCCGGCATTTCCTATGAAATCCCCCAATAGTTAAATCCAACATTTTCTAAAACACCACGGAGGCCAAGGAAAACACGTCTGCGAATTGTACTGGGTCAGGGTGCACTGTGTGTCACCGTGGGGGTACCGGGAAGCGTGTCTGGACAGGGGGACCAGCACACATGAAGGCCCTGTGTAAGAAGTCAAGTTAGGAAACCGGCAACCTTGGAGGGAGCAACAGCAAGGTCGACTTCTAGGAAGACACAGCTCAGACCAGGTGGGTTGAGCTGGGGACACAGGGGAGGGCAGCCCAGCTTGATGGGAGTTTGAGGCTCAGAGGCAAGACGAGCCAAGCAAGGATGTGTCCGTTTCTTCCCTCCTTCCTTCGTGGCCCCTAGAATCATTCACCCAGGGAACATTTATTTCACCTTCCACATGCCAAGGTCAAGCCTAGGCACAAGGCATACACAAGGATGTCTATGGTCTCCCTGAGAAAGTCGCCTGTGCTGAGGCCCAACGGACTTTCTACCACCCACCACAAGAAGCCCCTCTTTCCTGCCCAACTCCCCATGGGCCGTGAGCCCCAAGCAGACAGGGACTAGGCGTGCGCTACTCAGCCCTGTGATCCACAGCTCAGGGACGCTTTCCAAAGATGGTGGCGCCTGACACATGCTTACCCATCCGCCAGTGCACGCGCTCGTCCTGCACCAGCATACAGGGTGAGGCAGCACGGCTGCTTCCATCCGGGGCCTCCACTCTGGCAGGCATCATACTGAATTATGTCTAATCTCTGTCAAGGGTGAAACCAAAGGCCTTTTCCTTCCAGGTAGCCTTTCCTGACTGCCCCTGCCAGACACACCTTGTCACCTGGTTCCCTGAGCTCTGACAGCTCCTCTGGAGTGCTTGTGCTGGGACTGTGTGATGAAGAATTACATCCTCATCTCACTCCCCTACAGAGATTCAGCGGGTTCCCAGAGCACCTAGAATGAAACCTGAATCCCTGACCAAGGATCTGCCTGACGTGGCCCCTATAGAGCCCTGTGGCCTTATCTTCCACCGCTCTGGCCACTTCCTACCTCCAGCCACAATGGCCTCCTTGCTGTTCCTCCATCACTCACAGCCCACCTTGGGGCCTTTGCACCTGCTGTTCCCCCAGCCAGAAATGCTGTTCCCCACATCCTCTCATGGCTGTCCCTTATCATTCAGATCTTGGTTCAAATGTCAGCTCCCCTAGAGGCCCTCCTGCCCACCCTGGCTGAACCAGCCCCCGTTTCCTCTCCTCCTGACATCCCCCTACGTATTTCCTTACAGCTCCCTGAAGTTCCCTTCATCTTTGTTTACTTTTCTGTCATCTGAGTCCTCCACTGCCAAGTTATCTCCATGACAACAGGGATTTTGTCTGTCCTATTCCCTGCTGGTTCGCGGTAGGGTAAACACTGAGAGAACACACAAATGAATGAATGAATCTATTTTGTGTCCCCAGCTAATCTGAAGGCAGAGGCCACATTCCTCTGGTGGTGTCCTCTACATTAATATACAGACCTTATTCCCTGCTTTTAGAATGCAGCATCTAGGCCGGGCTCAGTGGCTCAGCCTGTAATCCTGCACTTTGGGAGGCCGAGGTGAGTGAATTGCCTGACCCCACGGGTTCGAGACCCACCTGGGCAACTTGGAGAGACCTCAACTCTACAATAAATCAAAAAGTCAGCCA